AGCACTTTGGGAGGCTGAGGTTGGAGGATCACCTGAGTCCAGGAGGTTGAGGCTGCACAGAGCCATGATTGTGCCACTGTACTACAGCCTGGGCAACAGAGGAGGGGCTCGTCTCAAAAATAATAGTCTTTCTCAGCACTCTATACCAAGTGATGTGCCGAGCCCTGCATAGATAACTGCATCTTTTACTCTTATATGATTGAGATCATTGTCCTTCTTTGACTGCTGAGGGAACTGAGGTTACCAGAGTGAAGTCAGTTGTCTAAGGAAAGTCTTGAACCAACACAAGGACCCAGGTCCTCCCAGACCCATAGCTCATTTTCGAAGTACTTACTTGGTGTTACTCTGCTCGACTGACATGACAGATGGGTGGTGGGGGCTGCAGTCTTGGTGGTGAGCTCTCTGAAGATCCACCCTTTGGAACAACATAGACGCTTCAGTTTCAGATTTCTCACGTCCAGTGTCTGTTCTGGGTTTTGTCCCCTTTGCTGCATTTAAGTAGCCCCAGCAGAGAACGCCACAGAATGGTGATGTGAAAACAGCCGTGTGCACCGTTCCTCTCCATCACCCGTCAGATGGTTTCCAATCAAGAAGAAAAGCTGGCCCGTAGTAAATGCTGGAGAGTATGTGGGGCAGAGGGAGCGCTCATGACCTGCTGATGCACATGCAGGTTGGAGCAACTGGGCAGTACCCGGTGAAGTTGAACCTGCGTGCCCCCATGACCCAGAAATTCCATGGGTACATGTAGACCAGGAGACACGCATGGCAGACTCATGGTTTGTAAATGGGAAACAGTGGGAGACAACTCCATGTCCATCAATGGGGGAAGGTGGACCAGACGCGGTGCCTTCATAAGATAGACTTCTACAGGCAATTGAAATGTTAGACTAGATGTGCATCGATAACACAGGTAATTATAAAAAAATTCAATGTCGAGTGACATAAAACAAGTTCTAGGAACCTCAAAGCAGCCCAAACTATATTATAACAATATTATAGATTGTTCATGGGTACACCTATAAGAGGGTAGAGACACATCCCCGACTCAAGAGAGGGGAGAGGGGCTGACCTTCCATGTGGGGCTGAAAGGGACTTCACTTGATCTGTGATGTTTTGTTCACTATATGTATATTATTTATTTATTTTCTATTTATTTTATTTTGACATGGAGTCTCACTGTGTTGCCAGGCTGGAGTGCAGTGGTGCAATCTCAGCTCACTGTAACCTCCACCTCTTCAGTTCCAGCGATTCTCCTGCATCAGCCTCCCAAGTAGCTGGGATTACAGGCACGCACCACCACGCCCACCTAATTTTTGTATTTTTAGTAGAGATGGGATTTCACCATATTGGCCAGGATGGTCTCCATCTCCTGACCTCGTGATCCACCTGCCTCGGCCTCCCAAAGTGCTGGGTGTGAGCCACCAAATCTGGCCCACTTTATATTTTTGTAAATATAAATATATGAAATATATGAATTACAGGCTCCTGCCTGTAGTCTCAGCACTTTGGGAGGCTGAGGCAGGAGGACCACTTGAGCCCTGGAGTTTAAGACCAGCCTGAGCAACAAAGAAGATCCTATCTCTACAAAGGAAAAAAAAAACCACCAAAACAGAAACTCAGCCGGGCATGGTGGTGTGCACCTGTGGTCCCAGCTACTTGGGAGGATTGCTTGAGCCCAGGAGACCCATGTCGCCATGAGCTGTGATCGCACCGCTGCACTCCAGCCTGAGTGACAGAACGAGACCCTGTCTCAAAAACAAAAACAAAAACCCAAAGACAGAAAATGTTGGCATTTGTCAATTTTGGGTGGTGAGAACCTGGGAACGTGTTCTGTTATTCTCTGCCCTTTTCTGTGTTTTGAACATTTCTTAAAAAAAATAAAAGAACCCATGTGAAACTACATACTGAATTTCTATGGTCCTCTTCTCCCGTGAATAGGGAATCTGTTCTGGAGTGGGTCTGGTGGCAGAAGGGGGCTGAAGCCAGCTCCTTGAACAAGTGAATTTCCTGCCAACATGCTTTCCTCGGCTGTGGCACAGAGGGAAAGCAGAGAACTGGCTGTGTTTGCAGTTGCATCTAGACCTTTTAAAAAAAATCTGGATATTGTAGGTAATATTGATTAACATATACATAGAGGCATGGGCGGGGCGGGGGGGTGCGCGGAGAAAGCAAATCAATCAATAAATGCATTTCTTCTGTTCCTGACCTTAGATAATGTGCACGGATTAAGGGGCATGTCACTTGTTTTGAAAACCAGTGTTAAATATTAATTACGAATCATATGGCTTGACCCCAGCAGAGGCCACTGTCCCCCCTCCCTCAGGGCTCTCCCGGAGCTCTGAAAGCAGCCCACCCTCCTCTGCCACCCAGAAACCAGGCAGATTTACATTAGGAATCATCATGATTCTTGTTCTTTCTATGGTGGTTACCGTGGACAAGACAATTATGGAAACAGAATTCATTGTTCGAACAGGCTGAGCTCATAATATTAGTGTGGATTTACAAAAACTCTTTTCTTGGCCAGGAATTAAAAATAGCTCATTCTCCCCCCCGCCCCGCCCCACCCGTCTCTTTCTCTTGCCAGATTTAGAATCGAAGGAACCTTGATAGTTTTCCTCCTAGTTAGTATTCCTGAGGCAACTCGCATTTGCAACACTGTTGAGAATCATTTTATTTTAAACACCAGTTCTTTCCACTATTCCTGCGAGGGAGTTCCAAGTTATTAGCTCGGTTTTAAATACAAGGAGATGGGAGTGGAGAGGCTTGGGGCCTCTCCCAGGGACCAGGTCAGAGAAGTCTGCATGCTCAAGGAGAGTGGAATTTCAGTCCCTTCTCATCAGATGCCTTTTCATCTGTCCTCAGTGTGTTCTCTGCCACTTTAGCATGTAAAAGATTTCAATGACCGGCCAGGCACGGTGGCTCATGCCTGTAATCCCAGCACTTTGGGGGGGCCGAGGTGGGTGGATCACAAGGTCAGGAGTTCGAGACTAGCCTGACCAACATGGTGAAACACCATCTCTACTAAACACACAAAAATTAGCCAGACACGGAACACACCTGTAATTTCAGCTACTCTGGAGGCTGAGGCAGGAGAATCGCTTGAACCCGGGAGGTAGAGATTGCAGTGAGCCGAGATCATGCCACTGTACTCTAGCCTGGGTGACAAAGCAAGACTCTGTCTCAAAAAAAAAAAAAAGATTTCAATGACCATTTTTTAAAAATGCACATGGAAACAGAACGCCCTGGAGTAGCCCCAGCCAGGAGCTGAACTCAGGAGTCCCAATGCCCTGTGTGTGGTTCTTGCAAGTCTTCTCCTCTGCACTGGGTTAAATGCTGTCCTCTCCCAAGTTCATATCTACTTGGAAACTCAGAATCAGATCTTGTTTGGACAAAAGGTTTAATTGCAGGTACAATGAGCTAAGATAAGGTCATGCTGGTCACAGCCTCACATTCCAGGGCCACCTCTTGCAATTCCTACCCCTCTCTTGGTTTGATTTCTCCAAAAGCTGTTTCCTAAACCTCTGCTTCTCAAACATTAATGAGCATGTGGGTCACCTGTGCATTGGCAGTTTTTTTTTTTTTTGAAATGGAGTCTTACTCTGGCACCAAGGCTGGAGTACAGTGGTGCCATCTTGGCTCACTGAAACCTCTACCTCCCGGGTTCAAGCGGTTCTCCTGTTTCAGCCTCCTAAGTAGCTAGAACTACAAGCGTGTGCCACCACACCTGGCTGCTTTTTGTATTTTTAGTAGAGATGGGGTTTCACCATGTTGGCCAGGCTGGTCTCGAACTCCTGACCTCAAGTGATCTGCCCACCCTGGCCTCCCAAAGTGCTGGGATTACAGATGTGAGCCATCGTGCCCTTAGCAGTTTCTGATGCTACAGGTCTGGGTGGCCTCATTCTGCACCTCTCACAAGCTCCTAAGTGATGCCAGGCAACTGGTCTGGGGACCATACTTTGAATAGCCTGGGTCTCACCATCACCTGTGACTCTAGCCCTGGCCCATCAGTGACTTCCTGGCTTCTGGGCTCCCCTCCACCAAATCCACAGGTTGCTAATACCACCTGACGTCCTCAGAGCAAAGTACCTATTGATGGCCGGTGATGGAGTAGGCAAGCACTTCGGGCTCGGGGAATTTAAGCTCTTTTATTGCCATAACTTTTATGTCTTCTCTGCATTTGAGAGCTTTGCAACTTCATTAGTGTACAGAGCACTGCTGAAAGAGTTTCTTGGTGGCCCCTCAGACCTTTTGATAAACAAACATTGTGAATGTAATCATCAGGTTACCACCATTAAAAATTATATTATAATTAGAGATGATATAAGCTGCCCGAAACTTTGATGAACACACTGCTTTTGTTTGGAACTGTTGTTAAATGAGTAAGTAGGTATTTTTCTTGCAAAGCAATGTTCTTCCTGCTTGGATGATTTTCTTTTTTTTTTTTTTTGTGACGGAGTCTCGCTCCGTTGCCAGGCTGGAGTGCAGTGGCGTGATCTCTGCTCACTGCAACCTCCACCTCCCAGGTTCCAGCGATTCTCCTGCCTCAGCCTCCTGAGTAGCTGGGACTACAGGCGCGCGACCACGACCAGCTAAATTTTTGTATTTTTAAGAGAGATGGGTTTTGCCATGTTGGCTAGGATGGTCTCAATCTCCTGACCTTGTGATCCGCCTGTCTCAGCCCTTAGCTGATCTTTCTATAAGCTTTTCCTATGATCTTCTTATTTGCTTTCTTCCTAGAAGATCTTTCTACAAGTTTGTTCTATTCTGCTGATGTCATTCATTTTGCATGGAACATTGCTAGTGGCGTCCAGGGGAAATCTTTATGTTTAAGGGCTGGGGGGATGATGTTAGAAGCAATGATACAACTCAGAAATTATAAGAGGAAATAATTATTACAAGAGAAGAAATATCACACTTGTCTACACTAATGCACTTGACTGTCAAACAAGAGATCTTTAAGATGATGCAGCACGCACCACGCAGGAGAAAAATGAGCAGGAAAAACGCGCCTACAATTTGTTCTGAGTCATATCTCTTATAGAAGGGATTGCATTCTGCTTTGTAATCATTTACTAAGAAAGTTGTTTGCAAATTAGAGAGGAAGGATTCAGGCTGTGGAAACCAGCTCGAGGTCAGGTGTTGTGGGGTTGCCAGGGTTTGGGTTTTACAAAAACAGTCTCACCCAGTTCGCACCGAGCGTGAAACAGATTCAAGGCACAATTTAGACAGAAGGTGAAAAGGAGATCCTCACTCTGGCATGGGCTGAATATTTGATACCTCCAAAGTCAAAAATAAGAATGGCTATAAAAAGAAAGGCAATAATAGCCCTATCACAGTAATTTCATTGGGTCCTAATACACCCTGCGGGATAGTTTGTATTGTATTTTAGAGCTGGGAAAACAAGCTCAGAAAGGATATCTTCATGAGGTTGCTCAACTCATATGGGCAGATTTTTTTTTTTTTTTTTTTTTTTTTTTTTTTTTTTTTAGATAGGGCCCTGCTCTGTCGCCCAGGCTGGAGTGCAGTGGCACGATCTCAGCTCACTACAACCTCTGCCTCCTGGCCTCAAGCGATTCTCCTGCCTCAGCCTCCCAAGTAGTTGACCCTACAGGTGCATGTGTCCACACCTGGCTAATTTTTGCTTTCTAAATATACATATTTTTTTTGGTAGAGACTGGGTTTGGCTGTCTTTCCCAGGCTGGTCTCAAACTCCTGTGCTTAAGTGATCCTCCCACCTCGGCCTCCCAAAGTGCTGGGATTACAGGCATGAGCCACTGCACCCAGCCTAGAGCTTTGTCTCTCACATGTGCCTCTATTCAGGATTCCACCCTAGTTTTGGAGAAATAGATTCACATTCTGAGTAGTAAAGTTAAAACCAAGGATCTCATTCATGAATGTTACGTCACCTACAATTATTGCCAGGTTCTCCTTAATGTCATGTGTAGGCTGCCCAATACTTGATGCTCAAAACATATCTTAGGGAGGAGAAAAGGAGAAAAAAGAAGACAGGGAGACAGAACTGGAGAGACAGGAAGTGAGTTTTTTGATGAGGTTGACCTACATTGGTGAGAATACAGCACGGGTGATTTCAAGCTTTCCCTTCACTAATTTCAGCTTTTGCTGAGATGGAGTTTTGCTCTTGTCACCCAGGCTGGAGTGCAATGGCACAATCTTGGCTCACTGCAACCTGTGCCTCCTGGGTTCAAGCAATTCTCCTGCCTCAGCCTCCCAAGTAGCTGGGATTATAGGCACCCGCCACCATGCACGGGTAATTTTTGTATTTTTAATAGAGACGTGGTTTCACCATGTTGACCAGGCTGGTCTCCAACTCCTGACCTCAGGTGATCCACCCACCTTGGCCTCCCAAAGTGCTGGGATTACAGGTATGTGCCACCATGCCTGGCTTTTTTTGTTTTTTGTTTTTTTTTTGAGACAGTCTCACTTTGTTGCCCAGGCTGGAATACAGTGGCACGATCTCAGCTTACTGCAACCTCTGCCACCCAGGTTCAAGTGATTCTCCTTCCTCAGCCTCCCGGGTAGCTGAGATTATAGTTCCCTGCCACCAAGCCCGGCTGATTTTTGTATTATTAGTGGAGACAGGGTTTCACTATGTTGGCCAGGCTGGTCTTGAACTCCTGACCTCAGGTGATCTGCCCACCTCGGCCTCCCAAAGTGCTGGGATTCCAGGCATGAGCCACCGCACCTGGCCTTTTTGTTGTTTTGAGACAGGGTCTCACTCTGTCACCCAGGCTGGAGTGCAGTGGCTCAATTATAGCAGCCTTAACCCCTGGGCTCAAGCAATCCTCCTCCCTCAGCCTCCTGAGTAGCTGGAACTATAGGCATACACCACCATGCCCAGCTAATTTGTTGTTATTTTGTAGAGATGTAGCGGTCTTGCTATGTTTCCTAGTGTATTAGTCTGTTCTTGCATTGCTATAAAGAACTACCTGACATTGGGTAATTTATAAATAAAGGAGGTTTAAATGACTCACCGTTCCACAGACTATACAGGAAGTATGGCTGGGGAAGGCCTCAGGAAGCTCACAATCATGGTGGAAGGCAAGGGTGAAGCAAACACGTCTTACACGGCCGGAGGAGGAGGAAGAGAAAGAGTGGGGAGATGCTACATAAACAACCAGATCTCGTGAGAACTCACTCAGTATCACGAGAACAGCAAGGGAGAAGTCCTCTCCCTTGATCCAATCACTTCCCATCAGGCCCCACCTGCAGCGCTGGGGCTAACAATTCAACATGAGATTTGGGTGGGAACACAGATGCAAACCATATCACCCAGGCTGAAGTTGAACCCCTGGGCTCAAGCAATTCTCGTGTCTTGGCCTCCCAAAGTGTTGGGATTACAGGCGTGAGCCACTGCACTGGGTCAGGATGCCTTCTTCTCACAAGGAGTGTCTACTCCCAAACCCAGTGCTGACCTTGTGGCCCTGCTCATGAAATACTCCAACACCCACCCACCTTCCAAGCCGGCAGGGGAGCTTCCTGGCTCATTGCTCTCCCAACACACACACATTTCGGCCACCAAAGCCCTGGCTCCAAACTTGTCCCTTCACTTTATCCCAGATGCAACATCTGCAAGCGGCAGCCGTCCATTGATCCCGACAAAAAAACTGAGTGAGGCATTGATTTCTCCCAATCTGCCCCCAGCCACAGACCAGATTCAGCCGAAACTGGCATCAGCTGGGCGGGATCTTCTTGAGTGGCTCCTTTTGCCTAATGGGCAGGGTCCAGACAGCCTAGCAGGTTTCATCAGGATTGCCACAACCAGGCCCTGTGGATGTCAGAAGCCTTTCCTATTCTCACTGGCCAGTCTCTGGACCGGCCCTGGTCTCCCAACCACAACGTTTCCTCTTGCATCACCTTTGTGGGTGCCCTTGACAGACGTCTGCACCTTCCCCACCATGTACTTACAACCTCCCTCCTCCGAGAAGCCCTCAGACCTCACTCTGGCCTGCAGCGAGGGGCTGTGGCCCCTCTAGGCCCCCAGGGCTCCTGCAGCTGCCCCTCCCCTGTTGCAGTCCCCACCTCACCGTGCTCCACTTGCTCCTTTCCAAGCCTCTTGTTCCCACGGCCCTGTGAGTGCCAAGAAGGATGACACACATCTCCCGTCTCTCCCCACCCCGGCCAAGACTCTGCCCCACAAACAGGCCTGATGTTTTCACACACCTGGGAATTGCTTTAATCTGAAATGCTAAGACTTTGCAGACACGGGAATGACTGCCAGGAAGAAAGTTTACACTCACTGACTTCTGAAAACCGGAGGCAGCCCACGCAGGGCTGCAGGGGGAAGCACCTGGGTGGGCCGGGAGTCAGAGAGATAGGGGACTAGTGGGGCTGTCCCCTCATTCAGATAACACTCCAATCAGGAAACCACCATTATTAAAAGTCCCCTTGTTTATTTCATTTTGCTAAGCCTTACTTGCATGTATCGTGTATCTTTCAGATAACATTTCCCCATTTGCTTATGTCACAGAGTTCACTAATTACGGGCGAGGAAGAAAACATTCTCAATGAATGCAGACACACGTGCCCTCTATTGTGTTCATCCTGGGCTATTTAGTTATTTAATTAATTATCAATTAATTATTATGCATTCATTATTAATTAATTATCACTAGATATTAATTAATTATTGCTAATTAATTATTAATAACATAATCATTTAATTAGGTTATCAGGGTTCTCTGTTTTTGTCTTTGCTTTTTTTTTTTTTTTTTTTTTAGAGACAGGGTCTCACTCTGTCACCCAGGCTGGAGTGCAGTGGCACAATCACAGCTCACTGCAGCCTTGACCTCCCTGGTCTCAAGGATCCTCCCACCTCAGCCTCCCAAGTAGCTGGGACTACAGGTGTGCATCACCACACCCAGCTAATTATTTTTTTTTATTATTATTTTTTTTTTGTAGAGACAGGGTTTCTCCATGTTGCCCAGTCTTCTGGTCTCGAACTCCTGAGTTCAAGCAATCTGCCCCGCTCTGTATTGGTGTTTTAAATGCTCAATGTTATGCAAAAATGCTTGGTGGATTGTCATATGGGGGTTGGAGACAACTTTAGTACTTTTTGGAAATTGCTGAGGGAGTTTGAACGGGTTTGGAATGCAGTTTGGTATTTCCCCCCCAATACAATGAAACATGGTATCTCATTATTCAAAAGCGTTGTTCTACTTGTGACATGTTTCAAGGAGCGGGCTGGGTTGATTTTTCACTCAGCAATCCAGCAGTAGAGTTTCAATTCATTATTTTAAACTGCTACATAGTATTCTATAATATGGATATGTCTAAATGAATCCAGCTACTCTATAGATGAAAATTTACTTTGTTTCTATTTTCCCCCACTCCAAACAATAATATACCATCCTTGGTTGTTGCTTTTTCCTCCACTACAAACCATGCAGTAAAACTCATTCATTTTCCAGCTAGGCACAGTGGCTCACAACTGTAATCCCAGCACTTTGGGAGGCTGAGGTGGGAGGATCACCTGAGGTCAGGAGTTCAAGACCAGCCTGGCTAACATGGTAAAACCCTGTCTCTATTAAAAATACAAAAATTAGCCAGGTGTAGTGGCGTGCGCCTATAATCCCAGCTACTCAGGAGATAGAGGCAGGAGAATTACTTGAATTTGGGAGGCAGAGGTTACAGTGAACTGAGATTGTGCCACTGCACTCCAACCTGTGCGACACAGCGAGACTCTGTCTCAAAAAAGAGGAAAAAAAAAATCATTCATTTTCCTTGTCCCAAACAGTGCTACAATAAACATCCTCCTCTATGTTTTTCATGCGTCGTTGGTTTTACTTTCGTAGGATAGATTCCCAAAAGTGAGGTTTCTTGCTCAAAGAGCATGCATTTTAAATTTTAATAGACATTGTAAGGTTAATTTGTGTAAAGTTTAAAGCAGTTCACACTCATGAACAAGGAATTTGAGTACCCGGTTTCGCATATTCTTGTGGCATTGGAAGTTACCGTTCTGTTCATTTTCTAGACTAATAGATGAAAAATAGTATCCCATAATTAATTCGCACTTCCTTGTTTGTGAGGCTGAGCAACTCTTTCTAAGCCCGAAAGGCAATGTTGATGTCCCCTTCTGTGAATTGTCCGTTTATATCTTCTTGGACTACTTTTCTGTAAAGTCTCGGTTTTCTCATCCATAAAATGGGGAAATGAGAGTATGTATCTCGCGGGAGTCATGAAGATTTAATGAGTCATTGGCCATAAAGAGCTCTGCAAAGCAGCTTGCAACAGAGAAAACATTATCATTGTCATTACGT